GGTTGATGGCAGTGTCACCCACCTCACCTCTACCACTCCCCTCGCCTGGCTGTTTCTCCTATTGAGCTTTTGTACTTGAGTACCGTTCCCTTTTTTAGGCAAGTTGTGGCAAATCTTCAGGACGCCTGTAACAGGTTTTTGATTTTTGAGTGTTGGAGGGAGCGGGAACTTGTAACAGAGTTTCTAAACTTCAAGCGAGCAAAAGTTATGCAACTTTGTTACGCTGAAGTAAATCCCCTTGCAATGTTGTGTGTTATGTTTACATAACCTTTGTTAGCTTATTTGATTGCCACATGTACTGTTCACTGATAATGTGAAAATGAATTAAAATCCTTCCTTACTAAATGCAGAAGACTACTAACAAAACAAAGCTCTGTAAGGTTAAATACAATTGCTTTATTTTAAGACTATTTTTATTTTTGCAATAACAGATTTTTTAAAAATAGGGCATAATATTTTCCAAAGAGAACAACGACAGTGTTCAAATCCCATCATCTCTTTAAGCAGTAATATTGACATTTATGAAGACTGATCACTTGCATTTTCTGTGTATGGAAGGGTTTCCTGGGCCACCAGGTGCAGACTAGTCTAGTTGGGCGTGGTAGCAGTACTACTTCAACATGACTTCAAGGTATATCGAAGAGACGCAGTTGTGTTGAACAGGAATTTCAGGATAGCTCAAGGTAAACATTAATAAGAAGTAGGATTTGATCAGGACACAGTTTTTGACAGAAGTATATCTACAAATCATACCTGCATACATTACCCAAATTTTGCTCATTGGTTGTTGTATTCCAACACTGCTCAATTCTAAAGCAAGCTGGTGGCTTTAAATTTTATTCTCAGATTTTTAACATCCACATTTTGCTTTCCCAAAAAATTGGGTAAGTTTGGTGCAATACAAGAGGCAGATTGTCAGGCAGAGCCTCTGGCCCATAGCACCCGCTCTTTCCTTTCCTCCCCAGAACAGTGGAGAGCTCCCGTGCCTCTTGCCAGGGCGGGAACCCTCCTTCGCTCTCGAGAGTTAGCTCAGAAACTTAATTTCCTCAGTATTTAATTGCACTGAACATTATGATGAATTGTTTCCAAGAGTACCTGCAAAAGCGTGGGTATTTTTCATGCTGACAGTCATGCCGCATTAAAAAAACCCTTGATTATTTTGTCTCTAAAACGTGTCTTCAACAATTGAATGTCTTGATTTTAATTTTTTGGCTGAATTAGTGATACTTCTTGATTTTATTGACAGTTTGCAGTTCTTTATTTTGAATGGGCCCAAACTATCCACTTTTTTCAGAATTGCCATTGCCAAAAGTTTACTCAGATGACTCAGTGTGATTTTAAGTGGGTTGAAATACCGTATTTTGCATCAAAACTCTTTAATGAAGCTTGGATAAGAATGTCACGTACTTGTTGCAGGCAGACTTTGTGAATTACGTTTGTTTCTTCCATTGTGGTTTTCAGTAGCCAAAGGAGGGACTACGTTCATGAGTACTGCAGCTATGCTTAAAGAAGAAACAATTTAATGCTTTCATCACCGGATCACACATTCTCAGAATGAACCTTTATCGTTCCAGGCTGTTCTTTGCAGCCTGTCTGTTGGCATTTTTCAGCAATGAGGAAATAGAACCACAGAATGATTTGGGTTGGGAGGCACCTTCAAAGCTCGTCTAGTCCAACCCCTCTTCCATGGGTAGGGACATTTTCCACTAGACTTGGTTGCTCAAAGCCTCATCTAACCTGGCCTTGAACACTTCCAGAAATGGGGCATCCACAACTGCTCTGGGCATCCTGTTCCAGCATCTCACCACCCTCATCATAAAGAATTTCTTCCTTACATCCAATCTAAACCAACCGTCTTTCAGTTTAAAACCATTGCCCCCCTTGTCCGGTCACTACTTTGGAATAATTAAGGGAGTGGTTGTGTAATAGGCACAGGAGGTGTCAGGATAAAGCTTTTCAGCAGTTGTTTACAGATGCACATGATGTCCTTTATGATAATATATTGAGGTTATTAGTCTTGTATATCTTGTATTTAAAGTCTGAAACTCCATTAATGACACCTTTGTTTTTCCTCATGTCTTTGGTGCAGTTAATAACGTAAAACTACTTCAGTCCCAGTGTTCAGTGTTGAGAAACTGTGACCATGCAACATATTTTTCATAACTTTGTGCTTGTATAACTCATTTAAAGATTTATTCAGTGTGAGTAATTTTTATTGTCTTGGATTATTAACTCCAGTGAAGAAGCTGGGATGCGCTGAAAAAGATTAGTTAGCTGAAAGGAGGTCTTCAAGAAATGTTGGTGTATTTTTGTATGCAGTACGTATTAGTTTTTTTCTTTATTTTCATGTCTTACACTTTCTCTTTTTCAGCTGTCAAACGTTTGATGAAAGAAGCTGCAGAACTGAAGGATCCTACAGATCATTATCATGCACAGCCTTTGGAGGTTTGTTTCTCTATATGTTTGCAAGAGCTTCTAATTAGGCTGTGTTCTTAATATGTATTCTAAGTTCTCTGCATGCATACGTATTTAAAATGTACTTATTTAGATACTAGGAGACCTTTTAAAATGGCTTCAGTTCTTTTTTTCCTATGATGGAAATCAACAGCAGAATTCCATTTTAATGGTATTGTAGTTCCAGGTTGTTAGTGAAAGTACATAATACCGGTTTTACACTGCACCTGAGTAATTTTATTGCACAGGTATAATATGTTTATTCCCCTGCCCCTCCTCCTTCCTGAGACCACATAAATGTATCATGTTTCAGTTAAACTTTTTACACCCAAACCTGACATCTGGCTCAGTTGCCAAGTTGCTCAACAAAACACTTAAACCTAGGTATCTATGAGGATTCACTATTTTGCATACAAAAAACCTGTGAAAAATGTAAATGGGTTCAATTCTGGATGCACTGCAAGAGAGAATGCTTAGATTCCACTTAAGTGGTACCTTCTTGAAGTCTTCTAAACACCCAGTTAATTTTTAGGCTGAGATGACAGTGGTGGTCTGGTGGTTAGAAGCTTAAACGGACCCCCCTTCTGATTTCACTGGAATAATAAAAAAGGCAATGTTCTGTGGTATTCAGTTTGGGGGTTTGATTTAGCTGTTCACAAAAATGTGTAGCACGTTTAACATGCTTACAGAAAATAGCATGTTCCTAGGTGCTACAAAAATACTTTATTATTGACTAGTTTTTGTCTGTACCTTGTGTTTCCCCTTCTGTGGAGAAATGTAAGGTTTAATTCATGCTGTTACCTGTAATTTAAGCGAAGGTCTTATTTCTGGGTTAGAACAGTGACTTTCTGGGAAGAGAACAGTGGTAGGTGAAAGGAAGTGCTGGAAATGTTGACAGTTACCTCCCATCCTTGAAAAAATTGTAACTAGGTGGCCAGTCAAAGCCCTGTGATACTGGTGTTCAGCATTAGTTTAGAGACCTCGTTCACTGAGAGCAAGCCTCATTTGGATTCCTGTCCTAACAGTAGGACTTGTTCTGCTTGTAAATATTCAGGAAGTTGTCGGCGTCATGAAATCTGATACACAAAGCCAAACACAGAACCCCAAAGAAATAATGCTTAAAGGGAAGTTAGTTATATGTCCATTGAAAATAATATTCTAAATTTCAAAGTGTACCTGTTGTGCAAGAAGGCACAGTAGCTGTTTCAAAATTGCTCAAAAGAGAATGGGAATTCTCTGGGGTGTGAGTCAAATCCCTGTGTTGACTTGGGCATGGAAGGGGCTTTGGGGAGGCTGTCGTTAATGTTCTTTCTTGGGGTGGGTCTCCCCTCAGTTCTCCAGAAATTATTATTCACTGGGGCAAAGACCCACTTTTCCCTTAGTTGACTCAGTTTTCCATCTGTCGGGTAATAAAATTCTTGTCATAATTGATACAGCTAGAGTGAAGGGCTTGAATAATGAATTTGAGGGTTTCAACAAAGCCATTGTGTAAGAAAATTACCAGAAAGCTACAATATTTTATCCTTTTAACCAGAATCTTGGTACTGTGTTGGTTGTCTTACTCTCCATTTGATTTTGTCTTCTTAAAACTTCTGTGCACTGTTTCTTTAGCCTGTCCTTGTTCAAGAAAATGGTGTTTAGTTGTCTACTTCTTTGACACGCTTTTTTTTTTCTTCTCCCTTTGATGGGGGCATTTTAGGATAATCTTTTTGAATGGCACTTTACTGTTAGAGGCCCTCCAGATTCAGATTTCGATGGAGGGATTTATCATGGGCGAATAGTACTACCACCTGAATATCCCATGAAACCACCCAGCATTATTTTGCTGACGGTAAGCATGTTTACCAGTTTTTCCTTTTTACATGATCAATTTAACCGTAGGTCTCTTGAGAGAGAGATTCTTGGCATTTAATGTTATTTTTGTAAGAAAGGTGGCATAGTACTGCTGCCTATTAATAATGCTGCCTATTTAAGACCAGAAGTCTTCCAAGGTGACTTTGGTATTCTGTACTTACATGAAGTTTTGCACCTAATAAATGGAAGTTTCCTTCAGGAAATCTCATGTTGCTGATGTGATTGTCTAACCTTCTGTTGTCTCCATGGGCCCTCTTGGTCTCTGTTGGAGACATTGGTCATATGTAGGAAGGTAGACCTATGGTTTGGGGCGAAGGCCCACATTTGTGCATAGTTTCATAGAGCTGTAGCTTTTCAAGCTCTCTGCATGGGTTACAGGAGCCACAGGCAAGCCACCATGTCACATTGGGACATGTGAGGTATCAGTTAAGGGTTTATTAATGCATGAATATAGGCAGATGGCAGACTACTTTGTTCAGAAAGCTGAATGACAGTTTTTTGAGGTTGCTGGTAATATAATTATCAAGTATTGTTTGCATATAGATTTGTTTGATGATGATTTTTATAACTTGTACCAAAACCTGAGAGTTTTATTATATCTTCCCTCTTCCTCTGAAGGCAAATGGCAGGTTTGAAGTGGGGAAGAAAATTTGTCTAAGCATCTCAGGGCATCATCCTGAAACATGGCAGCCTTCATGGAGCAGTAAGTAACAATTATTTGGAAAATGTTACCCCCATCAAGAAACTAGATCTTTAAACAGAAAAAAAAAAATCTCACAAAGAAAGTTTGTAGTAGAAAAGGAGACAGATTTTGAGGGAGTAAAAGTATGGGAGAATTTGGGAAATGTAGTCATGAAAGAGCGACATAGGAGGATTTGGGAATGGTATTAAATAAATGCAGGGTGAAAGGGTTGAGAAACTGAGGCGTGATGGTAAGATCTTATTTATTTGGGTGCACAAACATTAAGAATTCTCAGACTACTTAGACTATTCTTTGTTTTTTTTTTTTTAATTGTTCTTATGAAAGTACTTTAAATCCTATTACTTTACCCTGGTTTTGTATAATCACTAAAACCAGCTTGAATATTTATAGAGGGGAGTGTGGTCAGCCTCTAAGTCTGATGCTGTACTTCTGAACATTCAAGAGGAAAGACAATGTGGTCCGAGTTCAGAATAACAGAATGTTTTCTACCTTTTTGTAAAAATTTCATTATCACAGAAAGTGAGCGTTGGCACAATTCATCCAAGGCAGTATTTCTGTGTGTATATAATATTAGTTTTGCTGAGTACAGTACCTCAATAATTTCTTTGGGTATCAGTTGCACTTTTAAAATATGTTGATGAGATCTTGGGAATTTTCTAGTAGACCACTCTTCAACTTTTGTAGTGTCTCTTACTTTTTTTAAAGAGTAGAAAATACTGTCTTCTAAGTAGGAGGTGCAAATATCCTATCTCTATTTTGTGGTACTTATCTTCATGTGATATATGTTTACCAAATCCACTAGCAAAGTCTCTTGAATTCTTAAATTTCTTGACTATGTAAAACTAAATTGAAGGATAGATATTGTCAGAAGAGATGTATTAGTTGACTAGTCTGTTATGAGCTGTTATTAGTATTTAAATAAGCTCCTTCCCCAGCACGATGACATAAAAGGAACAAATTCTGCAGTACATTGCACAAAAAGAAAACCACTGAGCTTGTGTGCACTAAATTGCAGAATTCATATCTAATGGAAAACACGCACAAGAAGAAGAACGCTTTATGAATCATCCTCTTCTTTTTTCCCCCCATTTATATGTTAATTCTGCCTTACCTTTTTTTCTTCAGAACGCATTTTTAAAGTCTGGAACTCTAATCTTTATACAGATGAAACATTTTTGCAACAACTTTTGTTCTCTGTGTTGGCTGATGGAAGAATAAGGCCTTACCTTTAATTTATAATGCGAAGTTTAAAAAATGAAGCCTTGCTGTGTACCAAAAAAACCCGGTTGCTGCTTGTATGAAATTCAGACTACTCCTTTGGACAAAATGAAGTTTTGTAGGCAGAAAACTTTTCTATAATGAGTGTAGAATGAAATAAACTAACAGTTGTTTCTGCAACCTTGTTTGTATCTTTGTTTTCCCATTTTAGTAAGAACAGCTTTACTAGCCATTATTGGATTTATGCCAACCAAAGGTGAAGGAGCAATAGGATCTCTAGATTATACACCAGAAGAAAGAAGAGCTCTTGCAAAGAAGTAAGCACTAAGTTTATTACTGTAGGTACATACATATGTACTCTCTTTTAGGGTAAGGCATTGAGTAGGAAGTAAGTCACTTCGGTCTGTTCTCTTGCATTTATTCCAAATGTAAAAAAAAAAAAAGTTCTATGCCTTCTGTATATTTTTTTTCCTGAACATTGTGCTAACTCAGAACTTGTGGTCAAATAAAATGCTTTGAGAAAGCTGTGTTCCTTCCAGCACTGTGTGGTCAAATTAGAGGTTTGTCCGAAATTCAGGCTTAGAGATGTAATTAACATTGTGATACAGTGGTAATTGCAGTGTGGAGGGAAAATGAGTATGATGGAATTGATAGTGAGTGTAAGTGGGGGAGAAAACAACCAAAACAATGATGCATCATTTCCCTTAAATAAATAATAATAATAATAATAATGAAGCAACAGCAAAAAAAAAATCTGAAGCAACTGCTTCTGAATGAGTTCTAGGAAATTAACTTCAAATTAGATTTGTGATTATGATGAAATGATTAGCTTAGTGGACAAGGAGAGAGCAGTGGATGATGTTTATCTTTACTTTAGCCAGGCATTTGGCACTGTCTTCCTTACCATCTTCATAGAGAAACTCAGGAAGTGCAGCCTAGGTTAAGTGGGGACAGTGAGGCAGATTAAGAACTGGCAGAGCTGCCTGGCTTAAAGGGTTGTGGTAAGCAGCATAAAGTCCAGCTGCAGGCCAGTCACTACTGGTGTACTCCAGGGGTTGATACTGGGGCCAGTGCTATTATTCAGTGTCATTAATGACCTGGATGGTGGTGCAGAGTGCACCCTCTGCAAGTTTGCAGATGATATAAAACTGGGAGGACTAGCTGATACACCAGAAGGTTGTGCTGCCACCCAGAGGAACCTCACAGGCTGGAGGAGTCTCATCAGCTTCAAAGAAGAGAAAAGCAAAGTTCTGTCCCTGGGGAGGAATAACACCAGCCAACCATCCGGAAGGGAGCTTGGAAGGGGAGCACCTGGGGGTCCTGATGGACACGAAGCTGATCACAAGGCAGCAATGTGCCCTTGCAGCAAAGAAGGTGAATGGTGTCCTGGGCTGCATTAGGAAGAGCATTGCCAGCTGGTTGAGAGAAGTGATCCTTCCTCTGTACTTAGCTCTGGTGAGACATCTGGAGTGCTGGGTCCAGGTCAGGGCTGTGTCCAGGTCAGGGTACAAGAAAGATACGGACTTACTGGAGCAAATCCAGTGCAGTGCCACAAAGGTGATTGAGAGGCTGGAACATGTTTCATACAAGGAGAGGCTAAGAGAGCTGGGAGTGTTCAGCCTGAAGAAGAGAAGGCTCAGGGGATCTTATCCATGTGTACAAATACATGAAAGGAAGGTGTAAAGAAAGCAGAGCCAGGCTCTTCTCAGTGGCATCCAGTGACAGGACAAGAGGTAATGGGCACAAACTGAAACCCAGAAAATTCAATCTGAATGCAAGAAAACACTTTTTTTACTGTGAAGATGGCCAAAGCACTAGCACAGGTTGCGCAGAGAGGTGGTGGAGTCTCTATCCTTGGAGGTATTAAAAATGTGACTGGAAACACCTGAGCAACATGCTCTGCTTGATCCTGCTTTGAGCAAGGAGACTGGACTAAATGATCTCCAGAGGTCCCTCTCAACTTCAACTCTTCTGTGATTATCCTTAAATGAAATCTTATACCTGTGGGGTTTTTTTGGTCTTTCTCCTTTCCCCATCTGGGGAGGAGAAGGTACTTGAAAGACCATATCCCTATCTTATAAGCAGAGTTACTGTACTCCAAACTGAAATAGTACCTTATTTTGCAGGCAGATGTGAGCTTATTCTGCCTCTACTCTGAGCCAATTGAAGCTGCAACTTTCCTGTTAGCATGGCACTGAGTCAAAGCTAATTAACCCTGCTGAGAGGTAGGGTTTAGTGGGTTGGTCTTGATACCATACTGTCAAGGAGGTGTGGTTTCTTACTGGCTTGGAGAGCTGCCTGGAGTGTGCCCTATAAACAAATTATGTGTTCATGAGAGGAGAGTTAATACTCTTGCAGAAGCTGAAATTCCTGCAGTTGAGGTGCAAGCTCCTGGGTCCAATTTAGTATTTGTAATAATAGTTAGATCTTTATAACTTACAATTTTAGCTTGCTGTGGATATAAAGTAAGTTTTAAAATAGTAACAAACTATTAATAAAGTATAGATAATAACAATATGCAGGTCAGTTAATATATTCCTAAATGACATGACAGAATGTGTATTTGCAGTATAGGTAATTCTCAACACGTTTTTTCAAGATAGTGTGATTTGGAGCAGGGGAGGAAGTATTTTTGAGCTACTGGTCTTGACATCACTTGTCTCTCTGTGGATTGTTTTGCAAATAGTTTGTTTAAACAAGCACACAGAAGCATTATGAGAACACGCTATTCTGAGCTATGTCATTTGTGGCCAGGTCACAAGACTTCTGTTGTGAAATGTGTGGCACATCTATGAAGACAGCCCTCTTACCACTAACATCCGGAAGCGTGTCAAGCCAGGCCGACAAGGAGGCTAAAGAACTTGCCAGACAAATTAGCTTCAAGGTGAAGTCACTGTTTAAACTCTTATCTCTGTTGTATAGAATTAAAAAAAAATATTGGGGAAAAACTTGTAAATTGTAGAAAAGGTTCATCGTTCCATAAGCGTTCATCAATCACTATGTGGAAACCTGTTTTTTTAAGACAGTCTGAAAGAGAAAAGTAGAAGTGGATCTCTGACAATGTGCCAATGAATAAATTGTGCATCTCAAGCAGTGATTGATTAGTTTTAATTTCAGTGGTGAGCACTGTGGTAAGAACTGCATAACTATTGCTTTTACTTCCATGTTTTCAGTCACTAATAACTTGATTAAATTCTCCAGAATTAGTCTTATCATAAAAGCATTAGGAAAGTTTGGGCAAAGCTAACCTGAATTTTTTTCCTTTGTGATTTTTTTTTTCTCTTTTTGGCTTATGGAAGGAATAAAACATATTCCTACTGAAAAATGGTTGCAAATTCTTTTGAACTACTCTGCACCTGAAGATACTGAAACTTGAACTGGTATGGAAGTTGCTGTTACCCAAAAATGTGTTCTCTAGCTTGTGTTTCAGTGAAAGTAAGGCTTGTTTAGCCAAATACATGCCTTAGAAAATTGCATGTCTTGCATGCACAGTGTTGTTTTTCACTGGGTTTTCCACTAAACTCTTAAATCAGCCACTAAGGAAGACTGCTGTGCATGAGGGCAGGGAACTACAGTGAAATATATTATGATAATGTGGCATTGGTGCAGAATACATCCTCAATAAAGTCAGGGGTGCTAATATGTCCCCTTTTATCACCAATGTTCTCCTAACACTGTCCTAAAGATTATTTGGTTTTTTGTGCGTGCCATGAGAGTTAAGAATGCCTGCTACTGAGCGTTACTGCCAGTTTTGCAGGACCTGCATATTCCTGTGCAGTCTCACATCTAGACATGTTGACATAGTCTGTGTGTAATAACGCTGATGATAAAAACATCTCAAAATATTTTATAAAGATGAGGAGATACAGGGACGGAATTTTAAAGTTGAGCTACTCGGAGAAGCAATGGATTGCCTGCTCTAGGCTTTTTTACAATATATAAGGGTTAAAAAGTGTAGGATTAATTTTTACTTAAGAACTGCTAATCATCACAGAAGTTGCAGAAATATCAGAGTATAATTTTTTTTTCTTTAAGGAAGAACTCTTAGCTAACATTTCATACCTTTTTCAGTTTTAAGATGAAAGACTTAGGGACATCAGTCACTAAAGAATATTGGTGCATTCCATGTATCCACATATTTAACTCCACCTCCTAAGAACAAGCACTCAGCAAGGGAAAAATAAACAAAAGCGTCAGGTTTCTACAGCCTTTTACAATCCGTTGTGGGTTTTTTACAAGGTAAATCAGTTCTGTCTTGTGGTTGCACCTTCCCACCCTTTCTCAAATAAAATTTTAGGGACTGGGTTTTTTTAACCTTCCTGCTTCTCTGCTTTGCTTGACTGTGTTATTGTTTGTTTGACTGATGTTAGGGTGAGGCATTCGATTGATGTGTTTGTAGTAAACTAATAGTACGAATTACCGGCAGGGAATACAAAAGTTTTTAATCATTTGGGTATATTCCATGTCAATTTGTGGGGTAAGATCTAACATCAGATTGCTGACTGAGCGTATAATTTGAGAGCGCCTCTCTACTAGCAAACATAGTAGCAATCTCTGCATTATCTTGATCCTTAAAGAAGAGATTTCCTAACTTTTTCTAGATGATCCTGGGATTATGAGAAATTATCTCATACCAGCCTTAAGCAAAATGGTAACTTTAAAAAAAAAAGCCATGTGTGGTATTAAGGAAGGAATATGAAAATCAGGAGAAAAAAATAACAAACCCCAATTCCTCGTTACAGTTTTCCTGCTTCTGTGAGCCTCCCCCTTTGTTCCTGTCTGTTTTGATAGGAAATTAGTTTTTTTTAAAATCAGCTTTTCATTGACTGGCAAATTGTTTTGTGCATTTCAGGTGCTATATATGATAAATTCCATTCCACTTAAAAGAAAAAGAGAAAAGATAGATGACTAATAGAATATGCATTACTGTAAAACAATATGGTTTATCTACATGTTGCCATCACAAGGCATATTTTGCAGTAAAATTAATTCTCAACTGACCCTCATTATTACATTTAGATATGTTGATCATCTTTTCTTGATGTCTTTGTTCTCTCCAGCTTTTCTGGAAGCAGAGGTAAGGGCTGGAGAAAAGAGAGACTAGGTGAAAAAAAGATATTTCCATTTTGGGAACTTTCAAGTGCTTTATTTTTTTTGAATGTTAGTGTGACTTCAGTCTGGCATACTAGACTGAGTACTTTCATAAACTAAAATAAATCAAATGAACGTTTTATAGCGTATGTGCTTTATAGAGATTAACAGTAAGGATGAAATGAGCTCTTCTTGGAAAAAGCAGAAGTATGAAAAGCAGTGGTCACAGGTTCTAGGGAAGGAATTTAGAACTGGATACAGGAAAGGGAAATTCATCTTGCAGGTTGTCACATGCTGGAGCAGACCACCCAGAGAGGCTGTGGAATCTCCAGCTTTGTAGATGCTCAAAACTTGACTGAACATGACTTTACTTTCAGGAGGGGGTTGGATCAGGTGACATTTAGAGGTCCCTTCCAGCCTAAATTGTTCATAATCCTGTGTTGCTTTGTTGCTGGTCCATATTTGAGTCATCATTTGTCCTGTCTAATATTAGAGTCCCTAATAGTCAAGTGCAAAAGGAAAGCAGTGTTGTCAGATTATAAGGGGTTTTGTATCTTAAATACATCTTCAGGTTGTTTCAGTGACATATTTTTCGGATTCTCCTGAGATTACATACATCAAGAAACAGGGAAGTTATTTTTCTCACATAAAATAGTGTCATGAAAGAATATTATGATCTTGTGATCTTGTTATCACCATAACTGGTTGGTTTCTAATACAGTGTTTGTATTTCTCACTACTACTACCACTACTTATATCTGCACTTGAAGACAGGTATTACATTTGGAATTGTCATCTTTGTAATAAATTGAGATCTGGATACATGACTTGGGGGGTGACTTGCTTGCTGATAAAAATTGATCTGGTCATGTTTTTTTTTTTTAATATGTATAAATTTTGAAGTGTTTCAGTTCAGGACTATGATGCCATGTCCTTTTCCGTTCCCAAGGGATTATTGCAGGCATATATACTATTTTAACAGGAGGTTTGTTTGTGATCTTCTACATGTAACTACTGACCTCTTGTCTCAAATTTCCAAAAGCGTGAAACCTAAATTGTGGGAATTTATGCTTATTAGACATTTTATAGATGTGTACAAAAGCAGTATTATAAGTCTTGTATTTTTTCTTTTGCTCTGCTTGTCCTGAAATTTAAATACTGGAAACTGAGGTATGCGTGCCTGACACAGTGTAGTGCCATGCTGCATATATGCCCACTCTGGCTGTGAGGCAACTTCAGTACTACAACCAGTTTAGCCACATTAAATTAGCACTTACCGGAGGCTAGTTAGCCCTGCTGAGAAACAGGCTATATTAGTTCACTTGTAACAACAGTAGTCAGCATTCACTTAATGACATGAGAAACAGAAGTTTTAAAAAATGGTGTTATTTCTGGCATAATGTTGTCCTGGATCTTCTAAAGAATTTTCTTTTTTGCTCTATACATCTGTGCATTTTTTGAATGTTATACCTGTTGTTATGTGCAAACAAACTTAAAATTGTTTTTTAAACTGATGTTTGCACATCTGTAGTCTTATTTCTAAAGTATGAGAATTTCTTGAACCTGTTGGTGTGTAATTGAAATGCAGTTAGCGTATTTGATTATTATATTTCACTAAGTCTCATATTCTCCATACATTGAAATACACATTCCGAAATAAGCCAAATCTTTTTGGAGCTATTTTGATCTTGTCTCTGAAGCGTATGTATGTACTCCTTGTAGGCAGAAGTCAATTCATCCAGGAAGTCTGATGCTGGACCCTCAAACACGTTAGGATTGAACCACTCTGCAGCTTCACGTGAGCCCCCGGAGGATGGTGCATCTAGAGCGTTCCAGGATCCAACAAGTGCAACGGTACGGTCCGTCTTTGAGCTTTATCAGTGCAAGTACAGGCACAGTCTGAATCTGAAATCTATTAAGCTGATTGGAGGCTTCATTAAGAGTATGTAGTTCATACATTTCTTCTAGAACTTCTGCATACTTTTATATAAAAACTATGCGTAAACTTTAGCAAATAGTATGCTGAATCACTTTTAGAAATAGCAATCTCTTTGCTTTCACTTCCTTCTCTTAAAAATGATTAATAATGTTCTCTTGGCAATTCTTGTTCCTGGTAGTTTCTTTAATGTATGGGTTAACAGTTCATTAAAATATTTCGGTGTCTGAAGTACTACAATTTACTGTCTACATAATATATCACAGGTTTTTGCAATAGAATTCTTAGCCAGAAGCAAAAAATGTTTCAGTGATACTTTGTAGCTTCAAATATTAATCAAGAATATCTTCCTGGTTTTTCTTACCTCTTAAGTAAATCTGACTAAAATGTTCTTACCCTTTGAAGTGTGACACTTATGTTTTAATACTGCGAGGTGTAGGGCTTACATAATGGTTTCGGAAGTGACCGAGGCCTGGTGGTGGGCCAAGGCAGCTGCTGTTACTACTGTGGCAAATGCAATCTAAATTCACTGATAAATTGCAGGCAAATCCCAGCTAAGCTGTCTTTTTTAGAGAGGATGGGGCTGCAGATCGTTTAAAAAAACGAAAACACGTCAAATAACGTCAGACCATCTGTTGCATGTCTGCAACATATTTTCAAGCTATGTAGAAATATAAACATGCTAATAGCATACTTTTTTTCCCCACAATAAGGATTTTTCCGGATTGTTCAGGATTTAATAAACCATTTTATTTTATTCTTCTTATTACAAATCCTGGCTCGTATAGTAGAACTAGCCAAAATACCATGGCATTGATGGCGTTTTCTTGAGGGAAAAGAGACTGATTTTTTTGATTAATCCCATTTCTAAGAAATTTAGTTTAATTGGTTATGCTGATTTAATAAGTAAATATTAACTTAATTTTCAGCAGAACAGTCCTATGTGAAATGAGACCTTTAAATGTATAAATGTATGTAAAGATAAATTTATATGTGATAAACTGTAAATGATGAAAAGTGGATTTATGATTTAAGGGATCATACTGTCACACTCATGATTGATAGTCTGAGTTTGAGGCAATACCTGTGTTTCTGAGCTGCCACATTTTGAGTGTTAGGAATTTTCTGGAGCCATTGGGGAGTGAAAACTTAGAGCCACACGGTGGAGGAAAGAAATGTGTAACAAGGAAGACTGTTTTAAAGAATTGGAGCTTGCTATTTTTGTGTTCTTATTTGTGCAAAGGTTAATAGAAATCTTCTCAGAGTAGAGGGCCGGAGGCCTTGATCTGCTAATAGGCATGAAAGAGTATCCATGCAAACCTCAGAGCCTTTCTACTCAGCGGGGCTGCTTGCATGTGTGAAATCAGTTTGTTGGGTTAGTTCTTGTTGTGTGAAGACCTAATTCTACCTTACTAAGTTGTAAGTGTTAGATGCGGGCAACATCAAAACTATTTTTCTTCTCGTCTTGCATAAAATGTTAACCACTTACCCCACCAATGTGTGTTTAATTAAAAGTGATTGTAGAAAATTTGCTGTTGTGAACTTGAAATTTCTGCCCTTTGAGAGCAAAAAGGGCAGAGGTAGACCCAATGCTGAATCCTTGTATTAGCTTGCATAATTACCTCTGGTATAGTAGATTCAATGTGCCTAACTGAAGTCATGAGACTTTATGTCCTGCTACACAATACAGAGGAAAAAACCCAGCAGTAATCGTGCAGGAAGGAATGGAGTGTTACCTTTCTTCTGCTCTTGGAAGAGTTGCGACCAGGTTTCATTAAAAACATGCTGGTAAACAGGTGCTAAGGAAAGGGTCTACCTGTAGGCAAAGAGGAGGGAATCTGAAGGCTATGTGAAAACCAATCTACAGGCTCTTCATGGGCAAGTTTGTTCTTTCCAGCAACAATTGTCTACTCCATGATTTTTACATTTAAGCTGCTTGAAAGGACAGAGATTTTTGCAATGAATTGATGGTAGGACAACTGTAAGTACAGTGATACCCGTCCTGGGATAGGTTTAACTGAATTCTTGTGTGAAGAGCACACCGAAATGGGTCTCTTATGTGGCTTTGAGTCCATTCCCCCTGTTCCACCTGGGGCCTTATTTCCAAAGAGAGAATTTCTCATTCCATTGGAAAAAAGATATTTTGAATTAACTTTCCCTTCTGTCAGCTTTCACTTAGAAAAAGGAGTATAGCCTCACCAACTAAAGAAGCGCAAAGACTTACAGTATTTCAGTAAAGCATATTTTTTATATTTCAAAACTCAATTTGAAATAGCAGTTTGTGTTTTAGTGATGCCAGTTGTTATATTAACAGCAATGCTATCATAATGTGAACTGTTGTGTTATTCAGTACTTCAGTCTTATAGATTTTTCATAGAATCATAGAATCATAAATGTTGGAAAAGACCTCCAAGATCATCAAGTCCAACCTTCAACCCAACACCACCATGCCTGCTAAACTACGTCCCGAAGTGCCATGTCTACACATTTTTTGAACACCTCCAGGGATGGTGACTCCACCATATCTCTGGGCAGCCTGTTCCAATGCTTGTTCCAATTCCACACTTGCCTGTGAAGAGACTGACTGTGTGATGTAATTGTTGCATGGGGGGATGTGTCTGTACTGTTGGGGAAGTGCAGTCAGTGTTCTTGACTTACGGGCTTTTCCTGCCAGACCTCATCTTCTAGGTCACTTCCCTCCCTCCCCCGGTTGGTTGCCAGACCAACAGCCAGTATCTTGATTGCCACACTTAAAATTACCACAGTGTCCACTTTGGTCTGCTCTCTAGCTGACGACTAAATACATTCCCAGTGCAATGTTGAGTATTTCCTGAGTTCCTGCTGTTTAAAAAGCAGACAGAGGGATAGAGGTTGTCTCTGCAGCACAGCATGCGGTGATGATGAAGATGACTTTTCACCATGCTTTTCACCTAGTACTTCCCAGAGTTTGCTATATTTTTAAAACATGTCATCCAAGATGATTATTTAATACTTCCAACATTCTGATAAAAATTTTTAAAATAATAGCCTGCAGACGTAAGTGATGTGGTGGCTACCATCCTTCAGTAGACTGAACATAGTGTAAATTCCTTACTTTCATTTTGTTATATGAGAGAACGTTTTGTTAATCCTAATATATGTACATTTTACTAAACTAGCCTTACTTAGCAAGCTCAGATGTCTTTGGAGCGAAGTTTTCTACGAGTCCTAACAGTTTCCGAAGCTTCAGAAATAATACGGCACATCAAGTGCATATTCAATGATTGTAAAGATCAGATGCTAAAGGTGGCTACAATGTAGCTCTTATGAAATATTTTTAATTTTAGTCTATTAATCCCTCATCCCCAACCTTTCCAGTATGGTTTGGCAGAGAATGACTTAAAATTGGATGGAAATTGTGTCATGTGAGGTGTTGCATTAGTCTAAAAATCTTGACATTTTTGCTTAAGGAGAATTTAAGAACTTGCTGTAAGTGAAGACAAGAAGATTGCAGGGTTTTTTAATTTAAAACACATCTGCCGTTTTGGGGATTCTTAATGATTAAGTCTTCAAACAAAAAAATCTTTATCTAGATGTGTATATTTTTTAAGATACGCTAGCATCTGGTCCTAAATTTGTATCGGGCAATGATCACTCCTTTCTTACCTAACTTGCTTCTGCATGTCTGCTGATACTTGGTCATTGATTTTGTTCAGAATCCCAGGGCAGTGGATTAGCTACACTTTGAGTGAGGCACTCAGTGTTCTGCTGCCCTGGTGCATCTGTATAATTTCCTCCAAAAAATAATTTAAAGCCTTGCAATTGTCAGTGAATTACAGCTCCATCCAGGTCAGTGTACAGTGCCTTGTCTCATTCAGAACAGGGCCTTTCTGTTTTATTCTGAAATTTGAAATTTTCAGCATTGGGAAGAAACCCAGGTGTGTGACAGCTAGTGCTAGTTACTTTAGTTAATAAGTATAAAGACTCAGGAATATTTCTAGGCTTTTTTTCCCATTTTTTAAAAGCTACTTTAAGAAGAGTAACACTTTGCCTGCAGAGTTTGCAGTTCTTGCTTCCTCAATTCACTTCTCTCCCTTTCCCTTTCTGAAAGATGGGAGCATAGATGAACCTAGGAACTTCATTTTCAAAGGCTCAGCTTCCCTAAGTCTTTATTTTTCTTGGCATGGGTAGCTTTCAAGTGGGTTCAGTATGAAGCAGAATGACTTTCTTCTGCAGTGTAGTGGAAATCATGGCAAGCTGCGCGTGGTGTTCTTGGCTGTCTCTGCTGATAAAATAAATCTTTTAAAAACATTTTTCTTTGAAGCTACCCAAGCTGCTTGCTTGCTTAGGCAAGAAACCTGTGTAAACAGGCAAGTTGTCAAATGTGGTGAGTAATTACATCAGTACCCCCTTGGTGATAACAAACAGTGGGAAATGATGGTGAGGAGGAGGTAGGAAAGGAAGGTCTCTTCCCTGGGCTGGTTAAATCACTAACTAGGTCAAAGTTTGGAGAGCCTCTGCCACATGCAGAATATGTGGCCAAAGAGTCACAGGACCACGTACTACTTACTGTCTTGTGGGTCATCAAACCTGATACACAGTTGAGAACATTCCGTATCTGGCCATGTGGAAAGGATATCTTTTGTGGGTATAGTAGCTGGCCAAAACAGTGCTTAGGGTTACGGATATTGTGTCCATTAAAAGGCTTTTGTTTGGAAGCAAATATAAAATGTCCAGAATCCTCATTTTACCTGCTGTAATCAATCTTTTAGAAGGCAGGGGGAAGGGAAAGCTAACTCTGGAAAATAGCTGCAGGTTGCTTTAAGTGGGAACACCTGAAAATTGTTCTGAGAAGAGAAAAGAAGACTTCAAAAAATGACTTTTCGTCAAAGAAACTTTTTTTAAACACTTCAAAATTAAACCTTGTCAAATTTTTTATTTCCAACAACTGTGCTGTGTCACTATTTTTAATATTAAAACATTGGTAGTTTGAGCCTTTCAGTATTGCAAGCAGGATTAGGCTGGTGGAATATCAGAACCCCTAGTTTCAATCTTACAAACTGACTAATGATTTCCTTCAGAATTATACTCTCTTGAGCTGAACATCAGTTGCCAACGTTGATGTTTATTACTACGGATAATGGTAGACTGACGTTTGACCAGTAGAGGGCAATAGGTGTGTGCATGCATAGGTACAATGCACAATAATTTGTGCTGGAATCACTTGGGTGTTTTGTGTTCAGGGTTTTCGTTGTGTTTTTTCCAGTGGTGGTGATGCGTGGACTTTTGGAGCCCGCTGTCCGCAGGAAGCAGTGCAGCATTGCTTAGCTAGAGTTGTCTGGACTTTTCTCCTTCCTTTTCCTGCCCTCCCCAACTTGTCTCCCCTTCAGTACAGGTGATGTTACAAATCCTCAGAGACTTAACTATCTGGAGGGTTATTAAAGATTTCGTGAACTGCAAAGAGTTAAGCAAATCTTAGGCAAAAATATCTGAAATATCTTGATTTGGAACGCATCTAGAATTCAAATATCGTTTGACAGACTTTCTTGAGACATTTCTTGTCCTTAGAACTGCTAATTTGCAGCTTGAAATAGACTTCTCATGATAGCGTATGGACAAAAATGATGGATATAACAGTCTTGTAATTACTAGTGGCATGTATTAGCAGGATTTCAGGCATTAACAGTTATCTGAAGAGTGCATTGTAGTCCTAATGATTTTATTCCTTGCTAATCTTATGCACTGTCTTGCCTCACAACTCTCCATGTTTCCTTTTTAGTCTGAAACTCCAAACAGCAGTGCAGCAGCCAGTCAAGAGCATGCTCCGCCTGTGTCCACGAACACGTCTATGAGTCCACGGCAGCGCCGTGCCCAGCAGCAGAGTCAGAGGCGGGCTCCGACTTCAACTGACTTTAATCGGGTACAGCAACCAAGAGTCAACATGAACCAGACGGGATCAACTGTTCTGATTGTCCTTCTGACTTTTGCACTGGCAGCTCTTATATTTCGTAGAATATGTTTGGCTAATGAGTATATATTTGAGTTATAAGGTTGTTTCTGTTGTAATAGCAGTGGCTTGAATGCTTCGTTGAACATTCTGTATTGGGTATGACATGAGAACTGTTTACAAAGGCTACTTTTCGTATTCATGCTTAAGTCCTTATGAATGTTAATGTACCTACAGATACATTACATGTAAGAAAAGCAAAGTTGGACGTTTAACTACAACCAGTGTTAACTGCGTGCCCACTAGATACTTGGAGAAGCAGTGCGGTGGAATGGTAACATCAAGGCATGTGGGAGGGCAGTCAGTTTGTCAACTAGAAAAAGGCAATTTAAAAAAGTGGTTGATTCACTGTTTTTTTATGGAACATAAATGCAATTAATCACCCCGTCTAAGTTAGTGTAAGATTTCACGTTGGAGAAGGAATTCTAAAATGAAACACTACTATGTGTTTGTGTCCGGTGAACTCTTAATTTAGGGAGGATACAGTTTTGTAACAACTTTTATTTACCATGACACATTTCTAGAGGGGGGACACATACAAATTGGTTGTGATGCTGCTTTGTGTATGTGAAAGGGGGAAAGGAGTAGGGGGGCAAAGAAGGGGCCAGAAAACTACTCGTTAGTTATTTTGATTTTTATTTTTTGGAAGAAAGACTGGATAATCTTTTGCAAGATTTGAATGTCCTCTTCTGATACTCTCAATTGTATATCTTGGTTTTTTTAAATTTGAAGACGATATAAAACTATTCCTGCAATAGTTATAAATATGTAATATAATTATTTACCCAGTGCTATTGTCTTTTAATTATACCAGAAATATTCATAATGTGTTGAACTGAATGTTTCATATGCGATTTTATTTACTAAAGAAAATTTAAACCTTATTATGCTTAAACTCTCATATATATGAACGTGCTTAAGAGAAATATTTATTAAAACCTTCGTAATAATAAAGAGTTTCAAGCCAGTCTTTGGTTATGTTTCAAGTATCACATGGCCTTTTGTTTGGGTTTTTTTGTTACTTTTTTTTAAACCTAAAATCGATATTGGGCCCTGGTAATATTCGTGAGTGCTGTGAGATCACATACACAAGCAATAGACCTGCAATTGTTAGGGTTTTGAGAGGTTTTGTCTCTGAATGTTTAAGTATTGCAGTGAAGTAGAAGAATGCAGTCAGTGGGATCATTTTCCTCTTTTATTATTGATCAGATTTAAATGTATTTTAGTATGTTTATTTCAAAGACAATGAGATCTAGCTAACTTTCATTTCATTGCTGTCAAACACGTTTATTCAGCCAGCTCAGCGCTTACACATTCCGCTGCAGAACAATCTGATGGCAATACATTAATTGATGTGGTTTTACCTAATTTGGATATTTATTTCATTAGAAGTGAAAAAAAAACCCCTAAACAAACCACAAAAGCCCCCCAAAACCCACACCAAAACCCAAAAAACCTCTCCAGATCCTGTGTTTCCTAGTTGGTATGTTGCTCGAATACCTGTTCTATTCAAGTATTGCAAACCTGGGCTCACAGAAGAGAGTTCTGGAAGAGGTCTGACCCAAAAGATGGCTTTGCTGGGGTTTGAGCCTCTTGCTCCTCTGGATGCTTTGTTCTGAAAGTGCTTTGCTTTTCCTAGAGACTCACTGCTGTGCCAAGCAAACTTTTGCTCTCGTACCTGTGCCACATGCTGGTTATTAGTAAAGCAGCTAAGTCTTCTGCAGAGAGGCAGTCTACATTGCCCTTTGAGGGGGTGATGAGAAAATAAGCTGCAAATGGTTTCTGAAAACAGCCTTTTCCGTGTGATTAAAGAAATAGCTGCTTTGTAGCTTTTTATTTCAAACTTTTTTTAAAAAATAAAGGTCAAAATGCCTGATTGTGCAAATACCTATTTGAAAAAAATAAATATTAATGGTGACTTGATTTATGTAACGAGTCCATTGCATGTGTAGATACTTTGGAGGTTACTGTGTTTTAATTTTCCTTTAAAAGTTAACAGTAAATAAAAGCATCATTTTCAGAGGGAATAGCTCATCTTTTATCTTCAACAGCGTCGAGAGCCAGACTAAATTGGAAAATAAAATCTCAGCTGCTCTCTCAAACCATCAAAATATGTACCTTTTTGCAATGATATACATGTCTGAAGCACAGCACAGGCGGTTTCCAGTCGAAAAAGATGCCACGGGAAGGAACAGAAAATCTGGAAAGCCTAATGAAAAGGGACAGCCCGGTTTTACACTGTCTGGCAGAAGGATAGCACTGTCCTGAGATTAGGGGATTGAGCAAAAAAGCCGGCGTGCAGAATTGCGGGTTTTTATATAATGGCTTTAGTAAATATCCTTTAGGACCCAGTGGAAATGTTTGGTGAGGCAAACTTCATGAGTAATGGCCAATCATTAAGCGGTGATGAGGGAAAAGCTTTGAGTGAGAAGCCCCTGAAAGCCTGTCGAAAGCATCACGTCGGGAAAGCAGCGTTCCTACCACCCATCGCCGACGAACACGCGACGCCGGAATTAGAGTTGATTCAATGTTTAAACCCCGGGGGACTTGTGCTACAGGAGGTTACTGGAGCGCAGAGTGCTCGACTCCTGTTTCCAGCAAGATGCCTTATTTTGCAAAACTCCTTTTATTGATCTTTTGCTTACTTCTTCTTGTGGAAAGCAGAAAGCACAGGAGGAGGAGGTGGACGAGCCAGCTGGAGGTGCAGAGGGCAAGGTAAGGGGTTTTTAAAATGCTTAAGTTTCTCTTCCTGTAGTGCTATAAATACATTGCTACATAGATAGAAAAATCTGCCCTGTCAGTGCCTTTGTGTGTGTTCTATGTGCAAACGGCTTTATAGACGATGTTTTTTGACTAGTGTCTGATACTATATTCAGTTTTAACTCTAAATGGACACGTTGAATGATAATTAACTCTGAACGAGGCAGGTTTTGCAGGTAAGTTGACCACTGCAGCTTGGTAAAAATATTCTTAGTCGTATATGTGAATTACAGAGAGAATTAAGAGAAGTTGCAATTAATAGAGATGTTCAGATCTGCATGTTGTTCCAGCACTGTTTCAAGAGCAGGCTATTTACTGTGCTTGCCGGGAGGTCTGTGCTACTTACACTCACATGAAATGGCATCTTATTTTCCAGCAGTTTGAGGTGGGGGTGTTGGTTAGCATGTATGGTATCGACTAATAACATATAAATCCCTGGAAATTACCCAGGGGTTGTAAAATTAAAAATATATTTTGAAGAAATACATGAAAACTTTACAAAAATATGTATTTTAAAGTCAAGCAAAGGCACAGGAAAGAGTTAAAGGTCTTAGTAAAGTTTATTAGATTTACTGTTGCTGAGATTTGACCGGAGGTTTACGTTGGAAAAGATAATCTTCCAAACCTGTCAGTCCATCCAGAGTATGTTATCCTTTTTTGCAGTTATGTCATCCAGTGGCAATTATATCTTACAAGATTGTCCATTGTTCAGAGGGCTCAAAAATAAAATTGGGTTAATCCATCTTACTAAATGGCTTCACTGTGGCTGTAAACCTTCATCTTTTCATTTATTTTGGTGGGGCTTTTTTGGTTTGACAGTCAAGGCTTTTATTTATAGGGACTGTCGTTACTTGAACGTTTTACAAGGACATGTTGTGATGCAACTGAAAGCAAAGAATACCTCATCTGCTCTCAGATTTATACTACTTATTGAAAAATACAGCAGCATATGCTTTTAATGACACAAATGTTACAAAGCTGAAACAGCTAGGGCCTGAGCCTGAGATCCTACAGCCAACTGAAGTTTTGCCACTGATTTCCACAGAATCTCCGTTACTGACAGAGATCTTTCATTTAACTCGGAATTTTTTTCCAAGTCTGTGTTCTGGGAAATAGGGAGGATTCAGCAGTAGCATTTTTTTGCAAACCAGTCACGTGTAGTAGAGACCATCTACTTCGAAGTAACAAAATAGTATCAATCTTTCTTTTAAACGTGACTTTATCCAAAAGTGGTGCCAGTCTCTGGGTTAGTAAGTTGTTTGAAAAATTTGTAGTTTTATTTAAACATTGCAAAGATGATGTACGATTTCCACAGTGCCACTGTTTTTGTGAAGTTGTGATAGAGTGGAAATCAAAGCACTGCTGTGATTATTTATATAGAAGAATTTACTGTAAAGAACGAGTGATACTATTCGGTCTCCTGTGAAATAATGATTTTAATGAACAGTTTTCCAACCAGGTAGAACCTGAGGAACTGTATGTCTTTTGTAGATATATATTTACATTTTCTATACAAATAATGTACTTATTTAAAAGTATATAAAAGTATTGGGGGCTATTAAATGTGAATAACATTGTAAATACAGAGAATTCTGCAATATTGCCAAAAAAAAAATGTGTATGGATCAATGACACTGATATCTTAAATTTCCAGTTACATAGAAAAAATCCAGTTGTCTCTAAACCAGCAATGAAGAGTGGACTCTCCTAGTAAAAGGAAATTAAAACCAGTTCCTCTGCTGGCTTTCTAATCACATAAGAGAAATGAAAACAGTGTCCTTTTTAATAACTGCATCACATTTTCTGCTTAGTATTCCTCTTGCTGACTTGCCATAAGAAATACAGTAAATGTATTTTACAGTAAAAGTGTTAGCCAAGAAAACTTATTCCTGTGTTTGGGAATCCACATTTGGTGAGTTTGATATTTTGTGTCCTTTAAGGTCTGATCTAAAGATCTTTATACTGGTTTCAAGAATCTAGCTTGGGTTGTGCAAGTGCAGGGCATCTTCAGTTCTGTAGTTCACTACTTCAGCGTTGTGTAGAGGTTCTTGCCCACAGAGCTCTGCAGGTTTGGGTTCCTTGTATCAGGAATAGTGTGGCCAGCAGGAGCAGGGAAGTGATCGTGCCCCTCTACTTGGCACTGATGAGGCTGCACCTCAAATCATGTGTTCAGTTTTGAGCCCTTCACTACAGGAAAGATGTTGCATTGCTGGAACATGTCCAGAGGAGAGCAACAAAGCTGGTGAGGGGTCTGGAGCACAAGTCTGATGAGGAGCAGCTGAGGGAACTGGGGTTGGTTAGTCTGGAGAAAAGGAGGCTGAGGGGAGACCTTATCGCCCTCTACAACTGCCTGACAGGAAGGGGTAGCCAGGCGGGTGTTGGTCTCTTCTCCCTAGTAATGGGCGATAGGACGAGGGGAAACGGCCTCAAGTTGTGCCAGGACAGGTTTAGGTTGGATATTAGGAAAAAATTCCTCACTGGAAGGGTTGTCAAGCATTGGAACCGGCTGCCCAGGGAAGTGGTCGAGTCCCCACCCCTGGAGGTACTTAAAGGCCATGTAGATGTGGTGCTTAGGGGCATGGTTTAGTGGTGGGATGGCAGGGCTAGGTTAACGGTTGGGCTTGATGATCTTAAAGGTCTTTTCCAACCTGAACAATTCTGTGATTCTGTGACTCTAAGTGGTCCCGCAGGCGCCGAGACAGCTGTCTGCCAAGTGTGCGCAGGGGAGTCGTTCAGCCTGTGCCTTCGTGGGAAAGGAATATGGTAGAGCCAGGCTAGGGCTGTGGAGGTAGGAACCCAAATTAAGAAATGCCGGGTTAAGGGTTGCCTGTACCTCCTTAATTGCTCCCCTTGTTTTACGTTAACACTGAACTGTAATGCATTGGTTTTTCTATGAGCGGTGCCTCAGGGTGCTGAATGGGTAACGCTTGCCTGATTAGAAACTACGTTGTGTTTATTCTCTCTTCCTCCTGCCCCCCCCGCCCCCCGCCCTTGCTGGTAATGCAACTCTTCCACAAAACAGTGGTATGGCTTAAAGCTGTGCAGCGTTGCCGAGGCCATTGCCTGGAGCAGCTTCATGTTGTGCTCTGGAGAGCCTGGGCTTTGCGTAGGAAATTGGCGTGTGCTCACTGAGTAGCAGCTCCTGGCTTCGTCCTCTGATGGTATGGGGTTTTTTACGTTTTCCAGGGATACGGTCCCCATATAAAACTGGGTGAAGGGATTCAGTGACACCTATTTGTATGAAGTTGAGAGCATTTTTGCTGCTGTACAAGCTGGCAGATGGTACAGGAAACCAAGGGCTCATAACTAATAGAAGATACATTGATTAATAAATTCTGCATTTCATTCTGTTTTGGAGAAATCAAGTGATAAATTAACTGCAGAGTAAAACCCCTCAGAGCCACCTCAGTGACTGGTGGGCAGAGGATGTTGGCCCCAGCATTACCTACACACCAGGGAATAAATTTCTAGTGACGACGTAAAGACTTTGGTGCTGACAGAGGTAGTGTGAGTGTGGAAAGGTGCAGGTGTATGTGTCAGATGGGCTGTCTGTGCTGCTATGCTGCTAGCTGGGATTTTCCAGGGAGCTGTGTGCTGCTGCCAGGGCACGTCAGACTTGCTATGCATAGTCCTGACACTGTACAGAGCATGCGTACGTCTGCTTGTAGCTTCCTCGGAGCATCAGCCCCTCTCTAAGTGCCAAACCAGTACTGCTGGCATGTCCAGCACTGGACTGGAAATGGTTCGGGGTAACTCTGCCGTAGCTCTGTGATGGCTGCATCTCAGGAATTGCAAACAAATGCCGGTAGTCCTCCTAGGCTATCCATCTGGATGGAATTTCCACATAGAAAAAAGAGAAAGTCTGAAAAGTAGTGCTTTGGTTAATATTTATTGCTCTGTAAAAATGGCTGGCAATGCTTCTGGTAATGTTTACTGCTCTGCATAAATTGTCCTAGAAGAGAGGGCTCAGGAGACATTTGCTGTCTCGGTTGTGCCTGTGAATGCTGTGTTTTCAGTGGCCTCTGCACTGGACAGACA